TAAGACACTGGGAGTGACACATTTTTTTAGAACTTACTAAACACACTAGACTATTTAAATATAAAAGCTGTGACCATTACAAATGCAGTTTTAGCTTCCTAGTTTTTGTTAATATTTTCTTATATGGCTAAAGAATAATTGTTTTCGTATTAAGGGTGGAATTTTACTTTATGTTAATATTTGATTATCTATTGAGAAATTATCTTCACTATAGCTTTTACATTTATTGACAAATTAATGTGCTAAATTTTCCTGTGTGGAAGGTATCTAGTTGTTCACTAATCATATTGCTATCCACTCATTAAATGGTATTTTAGAGCCCAGACACTCTGAGAAGTCACTTCTGATTTGCCTGGGTCCTTACATCTATCTGAAGAAAAATCTGTTGTCTTTCTACCGTAAAAAAATGTAGAAAGGAGGTAAAAGCGAATGAGAATGAAGAAATTGAACAGACTTGGGTCTTTATGTGACTTCAGTATTTAGTTTAATCTTATTCCTGAAGTTTTAGGCATACTTTTTATCAAAAGCAAATATATGAAGCTTGACTTCACTTTTCTATCCTTAATACAACATAAACAAGATATCTGAATAAAATCTTACAGAATATGGTAAACATTCCCATAAATTAGTCATGTTTTCTGCTAAAAACTGTACTGTGTATTTCACTATTTAATAGTTTTATTGGTAAAAATAACTTTACTACAAAGTTCTCTTTCATATTTAATACACAGAGTTCGCCCAGAAATTTTAAAAGTTTACTTACAAATTGATTTACTTCTCTCAGCTAAAAAATAATGCAATTTTTATCAAAGGCAGCTAAATTACAATTACTATTTCATAATGCTATCATATTAATTCATAAGAAACTAGGTTATTATGCTTTTTAACCATGAACACACTTAAATATGATAGATAAATAACACATTCTGATTTTCTAATATTGCCACACTGGTGAGATGGAATTAGAGACCCCATCGATTAGTTCTAAGCATACCTCTCTAATATAGATCAAAAGTGGGTCTCAGATTCACATAAAATGTCCTAAAACTACTCCCACTTATGATATAACTTAAAATTTTGGAATAACATTCCAATTTAAAATCTTAAGGCTGGTGTTTTCCTCTCACTCTGTTCTTGTAATCACAAAATTATTTGTGTATATCTCTGTCTCTCAATAGATTATAAGCCCCTTCAGGCAGTGAACCAAGCACAGGCTTTTAAAATAAAACAATGGTTGTGTTGCTCTAGAAAAATAAAATATAACTCTGAGCCTGAGCCTGAGTTGTTTTTCATCTGTAAGAAGGGTAAATCAATATCTACCATGTAGGATCTGTGTGAGATTTAAATGAGGGATCACATATAAAGCATCTACCACAATTCTTATTTATTCTCTATCTCTCTCTTATCCCACACCTTGTCACTGTACCAATGACAGTATCACAATAAATTTTAAATAAATGTAAAAATTACCATGATTTTGTTTTATGGATTAGTATTAGTATACCTTAGTATTTAGATTTTTTTATGAGTACAAAGTAACCCATGGTATATAGAAATGTACTAAAATTTTTACATTGTGAAATACTCATCAATATATAAACTTAAAAGACAATTTTCTCATTCATAGATATCTGTATTTTTTTAATCTTATATTTTTCATGAATTTTAATTGCTAATACCTAATAAATGGGTGAGTAATTTATTGCTGAATCATGTTCATGTTTTCAAAGTAGTAGTTAAAAGTATAATAAAATTATAGATATTGGGAGATTTTACAGATCATCTAGTTCAATCATTTCATTTTACAAAGGAGAAAACTAAATTCCAGAAAGAGGCAACGACTTGCACAAAATCCAGTAGCAGACATAAATTTTTTTAAATTAAATCAGAGTACCTATGATTTTCCCTTTCTTCACTTTGTTTTTGAGGTGCAGAGCTAGAGAAGCCAAGAGAAGCCAAAGAAAAAATATGGAAGATGCCCAGTGGGAATATTTGAAGGGACTAGAGGCCACAGAATTTGTCAAAGAGGGCTTAGGACACTAAGAAGTTTAGAGTTAGGGGCCAATATCTTTTCAGCCCTAAGAAGTAAACATCCACATCTACATTTGTTTGGGAGGCTACAGTTAGAGTACATTTGCCTAACTGAGGTACATGAGAAATCATCAGAGAAAAAAAGGTGTTTAGGAAGTTAGGAAATAGGTAATAGTTTAAATTTAAAAACATAAAATAAGGGTTAATCATCAGTATTTGAGAATGTCTTATTTTAAGTTTTCTTCACAGTTAAGAGCTTGTCTTTATTTTTTGTTTTGTAGAAGCTTTCTCATGTTTTTGATTAAGAAGACTGGGAAAGAACTAGGACTTTAACAGCCATAAAATTTCAGCCTTCTGTATTCAAAATGGAAAAAACAAAACCCAAAAGTATATAAAAATAAAATAAAAACAAAAAATATAATTTCTCTTTCTGCTTTATTTGGGCAAAGGAAGAGGAATTGTAAAGCAGGGTATCAACCACTCACCATCCGATTGATAAATGTTAAACTAAATTTCCTTTCATCTTTAAAATTCTTCCTGACATCTAACATATGTTTTTCATTTCTTGTAAGGGCCAGTTGAGCCTAAAGGTCCAAAGTAATATAATTAGCAGACAATTTGAAGAAGTTGATATGGTTTATATCAACTTTTAAAGTAGTGAAAATATACAAAATAAGTACTGGCACGATTATCAAAACACAGAAAAGGAACACAACATTAACTGCATATATTTGGTAGAAACAAACACACTGCATTTATTAAAAAGTCTAAATAAAATATTTAGTCTTGATTCAGATCTAAACTTTCTTCATCTCTGTACCATGCATACTGGAAACCTGTTCAAGCAATATCGTGTAATCAGAAAATGTTAGTAACCTCAAAACTTTGTATGTCGTTCACACACAGCGTGGAAAGAGCTAAGGCGCAGCTCTCTAACATAAAACCAATATATTTCATTCTTCCCTCAGACCCTGAAATCTTTATCAGAAAAAACGTAAAACCAAAAGTTCTATGAGGACAGGGCTGCATCTCTTTTCTACTCTCCTGAATCTTCAATATCCAGTTTATGTCTGCACACAACTGATTCTCATTGCTCATTTGCTTACAGATCGACTGAATGAAGTACAGAGTTTCCTGAATATTTCAAACTGCTTGTAATTTTATTTTTCCCCATATTAATCTGTAGGATTAGCCTGGCTGCTCTAATGTTTGCAAACTGGAAATATTTTGGGTTCATTATTTAAAAGAGATAATGCAACACCTTTGAATTCTATGAAGCTAGCAGTTGATGAGCTAATGAATAAATTCAGATGATAAACACAAATCAGTAAGAGTTTAGTACACATTGGGTTTTTATATGTATTGTCTGAAGACATAAGGGCATAAAACCATAAAGGCATTTTCAAGTACCAATAGATCAGGCCAATTGTGGAGAGAATAAAAACCCAATGATAAATACACAAACAAAACAATTCCACTATTAACTGTACAATGCTTATTTTCAAACAAGAAACTTGAAAACTCCCTCCTATCAAACCATCAGTTTCCTGAAGGCTTGGATTGTGCCTGTCTTGGTATCCTCACTGTCTAAAACTTTCTGCTCTCAGGATGTCTTCACACTTTTAAAAGTTCTTGAGAACCTCAAAAGCTTTTGTTTATGTGGACTATATCATATTCAAAAATTAAAACCTGAAGGGGAGCCTGGGTGGCTCAGTCATTAAGCGTCTGCCTTCGGCTCAGGTCATAATCCCAGGGTCCTGGGATTGAGCCCCGCATCGGGTTCCCTGCTCCGCGGGAAGCCTGCTTCTCCCTCTCCCACTCCCCCTGCTTGTGTTCCCTCTCTCGCTGTGTCTCTCTCTCTGTCAAATAAATAAATAAAATCCTAAAAAAAAAAATTAAAACCTGAAAATTTTTGTATCTTTATTAAATCATTTAAAAGTAATAATAAACCCAGTATATGATAACATGGATATCATATTCTTTATGAAAGATCATTATATTTCCCCAAAACTCTTGTGAGATCAATCTTTTACACTTTTGCATATCTGTTTCATGGCTGGCTTGAATGAAAAGAGTTGGATTCTCATAAGCCCTGCATTCCATCAGATCTTACATGTTATTTTAATTGCATTATACAAAATATATTCCACACAGGTATGGAATTGAAGAAGGGATGAGCTTATGGATACCCGCAGAGGTCCTCATTTCACACTGTGAAACCACTGACCTGTAATATCATTTGTCATATGGCTATTGTTTAATAACTACTCGCTAAAAGTTAATAAAAAGTTTACAGAAAAAGAAATAAATTTTAAGGGCACACATACATATATCCAAGCATACAAATGATGTGCATATTCATTTTGGATTCAACTGATAAATTATTCTTTATAAATGCTGACTGTTTTGCTACAATAAAGTGTTAATTATCCCAAGTCCTCAACTCATTACAACTAAACTGGGATGCAGATCAAAGGAGGGTGTGTGAATGAAAGAGTGAAAAACTCTAACAATAAAGCATGTAATTCCAAAATTTAATAGAAAGAAATAGATGACTAGAATGAGACTTTTCACTTGAGAAAATTCCAAGCATAACCAAATCAAGTAGCTAATTCAAATGCTATATGGGTCTGTTTAAAGCAGCAAATTAGATTGAAACACTTTACTGAAAACAAGCTGGATTCTAATATTTTTAGTATCTACACGCCATTTCTAATTAATCTATAAAAACCACAAGAAAAAAACATTTTGCTTATATTTTTAGCACTTCTGCTTTAAATATTAATAGGAACTAACCAAATACCAGAGAAAATATATTGATTTGAACATTTTACACTTTCCAAAATCACAATTCTTGTTCTTTAAAAATAGCCTTAAGTAAACTCAGAAATGAAAATATAATTTTTGAGATCAGATATTAGATTTTTTAAATGATATTTCATCATTTGGCAAAAAATAAAATGACTTACTTCTCCTTTTCTTGAGGCCCATGTACCTGAGAAGCCATTTTAGGTTCTGTCCCAAGATTCTTTTGCATCCGCTGCCTCCTCTTTCTACTTGGTGCAATATCCGTGACATCAGGACTTGAAATAATGGAATCATCTCCTCTTAAAGTAGCTAAAATAAAATGACATAAAAGTGTGACCCAACAAAATTATGCATAAAAAGTAAGAACTTGCTGCACTGATATGAAGTGACACTTAAAATATAGTAAAATTATTTTTAAAAAATTCATGAAGATTTGGTTAAGTGGACCAGTTAGATTATAATACTTTAATACCAATATAAAACATAAAGTATATTATACACATGGAATAATTTGATCAAAATGGTCTCTGCCTATCTTGCACAATAACCCTCCCAAATACATCGAAGGCACAGTTTGATCTTTCAATGCTAGAATTAGACAGGAATGCCTTAGAGGCGCCTCTATAAGATGTTTTTTGGGGGGGGGGCAAATACTGCTATAGGAATAGGATAAATCAAATTGATACTAAACAGTAATTATTAACAGGAATGGAGACTTCTGCTAGTGATCCAGAGATAATTTCATAGACTTTTCAGCCAACTGTAGGGAATGAGAACAGGAAAAATGTCTAACAGATGTCCCTATTGTATCTAAGTCATTAAACTACCCCTAAAAGTGTTTGATATACATGAAACAGAAGCAACAAGAGAAACATGTTTGATTTATATTCCTTTATTCTCTATAAACAACTTAGTTCCAAAGAGCTTTAGGGGAGTTCAGAATTCATTCATCTAATACATAGTATACTTAAGTAAATACATATTTATATAAAAGAGCTCCTTTGCCATTGGTAAACAATGAACAATATCAATATAATTTGGACTTTGGATGTCTTGCTGGTTCATATGATTTTTGTCTAGCATGTTAACATTTTAAGGTGACCAAGGGCGAGCTTTCATCCCAATTAAAGAGAAGGCCTTCACAATGTATAAAGTCCTAAAAAGATGGAGATGAGTGGCAAAAATCCTGGACAAGTCAATTCCTGTAGCACAAAGAGGGGTTGGCTGGCTGAGTGGAGTCAAGAACCCTAGACTTTTCGGGCGAATGGGTGGCTCAGTCGTTAAGCGTCTGCCTTCGGCTCAGGTCATGATCCCAGGGTACTGGGATCGAGTCCCACATCAGGCTCCCTGCTCAGCGGGAAGCCTGCTTCTCCCCCTCCCACTCCCCCTGCTTGTGTTCCCTCTCTCGCTGTCTCTCTCTCTCTGTTGAAAAATAAATAAAAACTTAAAAAAAAAAAAAAAAGAACCCTAGACTTTTCAACAGTTAAGCTTTCTGTTACAGAAAGAAGCTGTGAAAATGTTTCTCCCTGTAGCTGAATCAGATGTTTAATTTTCATCAAACTATTAGAATGCATTCAGTAACTGCCATCTACTCCATTTGAGAGGAAATGTGATGCAAATGGTTAGTGGACTGTGATGTTGGGTGCAAATGTTGCTAGAGAGTTAACGGAGTTAATATTTTCATTAGGATTGTAACTAGGATTGTAACTAGGGAACTAACAACAACAATGTAAAGCTGCATAGATTTTGAGTGGTCTGCCTAAACCTTAATTTTTTTCCCCATAGGCTCTATTATTTTTAGTGTGCAATTCTGCAGAATGAGTGGTTTATCAGGCACACATATATCACATCCTAGAAGAAAAGCTGGTATTTTGAATTCCCACTTGCTGCAGCCCATGCTTCTCTGAGTGACCGGAGATCACTTGGACACTGTTGACCACTCTCTTGAAAGTCTTCTTTGGGTGCTTTTTTTTTTTTCTTTGAAATGGCTCCATTTTTTAGAACATATGTGGTAGACACTTTGCTATGGGTTTTAAACATATTATTTTATTAATCTTTAACCTTGTGAAGTACTTACTATTATTACCTTCATTTTACTTATGAAGAAGCCAAGGCTTTAGAAAGGTTAAGTAACTTGACCAAATCACACAGACTTTGAGTTGATATTTTATCACATGACAACAAAAAAATATTTCTCCTTAGTGGATAAAGTATTCCTTCATCAAATATTTACTGATTACTGATTAAAGGATATTTTACTTTCCAAAGCTATTTAAGTCATTAGGCCACATAAGTTCTACTACATTTCACATACATTATTTTACTAGCTAGTACTATTCTAGGAATAGAGAAGGGTAGATAACAAAGGGTGTTTCTTTGAATACATCAAGCTGAACAACTTCCATAATTTTATGAAGCCATGAGATGATTATGGAAGATAATTCTGGTTTCCTGATTTTTTTTCGCCAGTCTGCTCTCACCCAGGGTTTACTCAGTCACATAAGCAATAACAAAGTACAGGCTTGCCTATAAACAAAGCTAGTAAGAATGTCAGAGTTAGAAGACATTTCAACTGTAGAAAGACTTGAAAAATGAAAAAAAAAAAGCATTTAATGACATGTTGGACATCTAGGAGGTAATAATGTTAAATTTGTTTAAATTAAAATGGTAAGGGTAAGATTAAAAAAAATAAAGTTATCAAAAAGTTCTGCCATTCATTTTAAAACTCCAAATAATGACTTAACACATTGGCACCCAAAAGCATGTTTTATATGTAATATGGTTATACTATTTGTTATGCATATAATTTGTAAGTAATTTACTTTAAAATACAATGCAATTAAATGTATGCTGTTAGTCAGGGTGAGCTATAACCCAGGTGTTGCTAGCACCTACTCAAAAATGCACAGCCCATTGAGTTGAAGGTCCATTTCTGGGTCTCTATTCTGTTCCATTGATCTATGTGTCTGTTTTCGTTCCAGTACCATACTGTCTTAATGATCACAGCTTTAAGTCCAGAACTGTGATGCCTCCAGCTTTGGTTTTCTTTTTCAACATTCCTCTGGCTATTCAGGGTCTTTTCTAGTTCCATACAAATTTTAGGATTGTTTGTTCCAGCTCTGTGAAAAATACTAATAGTATTTTGATAGGGATTGCACTGAATGTGTAGATTGCTCTGGATAGCATAGACATTTTTTTTATTATGTTCAGTTAGCAGAGATTTTAACAATATTTGTCCTTCCAATCTATGAGCATGGAATGTTTTTCCATTTCTTTGTGTCTTCAATTACTTTTGTAAGTGTTCTATAGTTTTCAGAGATCCTTTTCCTCTTTGATTAGGTTTATTCTAGGTATCTTATTGTCTTTGGCATAATTATAAATGGGATCAATTCCTTGATTTCTCCTACTTCTGCTTCATTGTTAGTCTACAGAAATGCAACTGACTCCTGTACGTTGATTTTATATCCTATGACTTTGATGAATTCCTATTATCAGTTCTAGCAATTTTTTGGTGGAGTCTTTTGGGTTTTCTATATAGAATATCATGTCGTCTGTGAAGACTGAAAGTTTGATTTGTTCTTTGCCAATTTGGATGTCTTTTATTTATTTTTGTCATCTGATTGCTAGGCTAGGACTTCCAGTATTATGTTGAACAACAGTGGTGAGAGTGAACATCCCTGTCGTGTTCCTGACCTTAGGGGAAAAGATCTCAGTTCTTCTCCATTGAGGATGATATTTGCTGTGGGTATTTCCTGTGTGGCTTTTATGATGTTGAGGTATGTTCCCTCCATCCCTACATGGTAGAGGGTTTTTATCAAGAAAGGATGCTGCATTTTGTCAAGTACTTATATTCAACTAATCTTAGACAAAGCAGTAAAGAATGCCCAGTGGAAAAAAGACAGTCTCTTCAATAAATGGTGTTGGGAAAATTGGACAGACACATGCAGAAGAATGAAACTGGACTATTTTCTTACACCATACACAAAAATAAACTCAAAATGGATGAAAGATCTAAATGTGAGAAAAGAATCTATCAAAATTCTAGAGGAAAACACAGGCAGCAACCTCTTTGACCTCGGCCGCAGCAACTTCTCACTAGGCACATCTCCAAAGGCAAGGGAAACAAAAGCAAAAATGAACTATTGGGACTTCCTCAAAATAAAAAGATTTTTCACAGCAAAGGAAACAGTCAACAAAATCAAAAGACAACCCTACAGAATGGGAGAAGATATTTGCAAATGTCTTATCAGATAAAAGGCTAGTATCCAAAATCCATAAAGAACTTAGCAAACTCAACACCCAAAGAACAAATAATCCAGTCAAGAGATGGGCAGAAGACATGAACAGATATTTCTCCAAAGAAAATATACAAATGGCCAACAGACACATGAAAATTTTAATCAACATCACTCGGCATCAGGGAAATACATATCAAAACCGCAATGAGATACCACCTCACACCAGTCACAATGGCTAAAATTAACAACACAGGAAACAACAGATGTTGGCAAGGATGCGAAGAAAGGGGAATCCTCTTAACTGTTAGTGGGAATGCAAACTGGTGCAGCCACTCTGGAAAACAGTATGGAGTTTCCTCAAAAAGTTAAAAATAGAACTACTCTATGATCCAGCAATTGCACTACTAGGTATTTATTCAAAGGATACAAAAATTGTAATTCGAAGGGGCACATGCACCCCAGTGTTTATAGCAGCAATGTCCATAATAGCCAAGATATGGAAAGAGCCCAGATGTCCATCAAGTGATGAATGGAAAAAGAAAATGTACACACACACAGGAATATTCAGCCATCAAAAAAACTGAAATCTTGCCATTTGCAACAATATGGATGGAACTAGAGGGTATTATGCTAAGTGAAATAAGTCAGAGAAAGACAATTATCATATGATCTCACTCATATGTGGAATTTAAGAAACAAAACAGATGAACATAGAAGAAAGGAAGGAAAAATAAAATTAGATGAAAACAGAGAGGAAGGTAAACCATAAGAGACTCTTTAACTCTACGAAACAATCTGAGGGTTGCTGGAGGGGAGATGGATAGGGAATGGCTTAACTGGGTGATGGGCATGAAGGAGAGCACTTAATGTAATGGGCACTGGGTGTTATATGCAACTGATGAATCACAAAATTCTATCCCTGAAACTAATAATACGCTATATGTTAACTAAATTGAACTTAAATAAATTTAAAAAAAAAATGCACAGCCTAGGAGCAGACTGTTGAGATTCTAAAAATAAAGTCCATATCTTGAGGGGGCTTCTAGAAGCACTTTTGTTATTTGTATATCA